GCCATAGAAGGCACGAAGATGCCTCATTCAGTAGGTTTTGCTGTAGCCCCAGGGAGTGCCAGCGTTCCCACAATGCAACTCCGGAACAGCTGTTGTGACCTCAGAGAGCACCCTTAGGCCTACTGTCAGCTCCCCATCGCTGCTTCCCTGTAGCCTCTGGTGGCCGCTGCTCAACACACACACACACACACAGCGTTTGGTTTCCAGGATCTAGACAGCCGGCTTCACTTCTGTTCGTGGCTGCATCATGATCCATGGTGTGGAATAACTGTGTTTTGTTTATGCATTTGCTGGCTGATGGGCACTTGTTTCCTATTCTCTTTCCCTTTGGTTTGGTTTTGAATTGGACCCTCTCCTCAGCCACTGGCTGTGTTCCCCCACTATGGCTCTTTGGAAAGTAAGGAATGAGCATGGAGTAGAGTGGGGGAACTGGGGTGGTGAGAGAGGCTGGGAAGGGTGCCTGAAGGTCTGGAAGAATTCTCTGCACCCCCCCCCCCAGCAGTCAGCTGTTGGGAAGTGGGTGTTTTTCTCACTGCTGATTATTAACCAGATTATTAAGATCCTGAGAGTAGGCCCCCAGGGCTAGAGCAGGTGGTGGCTTGAGAGGCTGAAAATGTTTTTCCAAGACACTTTAACAGCCCTGGACCCTGGCCTCTCTGATGCTACTTGGAAACCAGATACCACTTTATGAATTGCTTTCATCATCATAGTGATAAAAGTGGTTTCCATCTGTATAGGACTGTTGCCTAGTCATTATTTTTCTTTATTATTTATTTCACTGTATGTAAAAGAGTTATAGAGAAAGACAGACAGACAGACAGACACACACACACACACACACACACACACACACACACACGTTTTATCTATTGGTTCATGCCCCAGAAGGTTGTAACAGCCAGCACTGGGCCAGGCCATAGCCAGGAACCAGCAGCTTCTTCAGGTCTTCTGCATGGGTGGTAGGGTCCCATCTTCCACTGATTTTCCCAGGTCATTCCCAAGACTAGATTGGAACTGGAGCAGCGGGAACACGAGCTAGCACCCACAGGGAATGCGGGTGTTATAGGCAGCAGCTTTGCCTGCTATGCCACAGTGCCATCCCCGGAGTCATTATATTTCAGTCCTCAGAACATTCTTACCCTTATCTTTGCAGATAAGGGAATAGAGACACTGAAAGTGAGGGAGCTTACCCCAAGTCACACAGCAGAGCAGCAGATACGGCCAAACTGAAGCACAGGAATCTCTCAATTCCTCGTGTAGGAAGGTTAGCGCCCATATGGGATCCTGGTACATGCAAGGGGAGGACTTTGGCCACTAGGCCACTGCGCCGGCCCTCTGCTACAGACTTTTTGACTGTGTCCTCCCAAGAGTGTCTTTGGCTAAAGCCGGCGAGGCTCTGGTAGGCCTTGCAGAATTCTCCCATTTGCCCCGGCGTCTGCCAGGCTTATGGAGAACTGATGCCCCCCAGGTGTTGAGAGTCAGTGTCGCATGGCCGAGGGGCAGCAGGGATGCTGGGCATGCAATCCCTTGGCACTTACTCAGCAAGAGGCAGCTCTTCTGAGCCAGCCTCCGCTGCCTCTTCCCATCCTACTATCACAGCCCAGCGTAGACTCCTCCTGCAACCTCCTCCCACCCTCCTTTCCTCGTCCAACTGTTCCAAGCTCACCCCATCCCCAGCCCTTCCTCTGACAGGTCCCTGTAGGTGGGCCTGGATCCATGAGTGAGGGGAGTGTTCAGTCTCAGGGTCACGACCTAGGCGGGCTCCCTGTGGGTCACAAGAATGTTATCCCCTTTGCTTGTGGTTCAGTCTGTTGCTTGTGATAAATGAGAGCAGATTCAGGGTGGTCCCTTAATGTGATGGCAACACTTCAATCTGCTCAGGTTTGTGACGTTTACCGTTTGGGATGAGACAGGGCTGGAATTGTACCATGTTCTTTCTCTATCTGAACTCTGCACCAGCTGGTGGTTGGGCCATCCTGGCTGGCCTTGGGAGGGTGGCTCATTTGTAACCATCTCTGTGGATGAGGCTGGAACCCGGGACTTGGGGCTGTGTGGTGGCTTTCTAGGGCACCAAGAGCCACAGACTGCATCGCTTCAAGCCACAGAGGATTATTATCTCAATTTTGGAGGCTGGAAGTGCAAACTCAAGGTGTGAGAAGGGCCGTGCTCCCTTGAAGCTTTGGGGAAGAATTTTTCCTGCTGCCCCTAGCATGGGGTGGGGGTTGCCATCCCTAACATTCATGACTGGTGGTTGTATTGCTTAAGTCCTTGCATGCATTATCATGCAACATTGTTCATGCCCCTATGTGATTGTGTGGTGTTCTCCATGCACCTACGTCATCGTGTGATGTTCTCTGTTGCATGTGTCTTATCACATGGTATTCTCCGTGTACCTGCATCATCACGTGGGGTCTGCGTGTACCTGTATCATCACGGGGTTCAGTGTACACCTGTGTCATCACCGAGTGTCCTCTGTGCACCTGTGTCATCACATGATGTGGCATTCTCCATGCACCTGCATCATCAGGTGGTGTTCCCTGTGCACTTGTGTCGTCATGCGGCATTCTCTGTGTACCTGTGTCATCTCATGGCATTCTCCATGCAGCAGTGTCATCATGGGGCATTCTCCACGCGCCTGTGTCATCATGGGGCATTATCTGTGCACCTGCGTCATCTCATGGCATTCTCTGTGGACCTGTGTCATCACGTGGCGTTTGTGTGTCTGCCTTGGTGCATGGCTGCCTCCCTTTTTGATAAGGACACTTTGCGGTGTTGGATTAATGCCTACCCTATGACCTCGTCTTGACCCTTGATTACTCTGGAAAATTCTATCTACAAATGTGTTCCCAGGTCTAGGGGTTGGGATGCCAACTTATCTTTGTGGAGGACACACAGTTCAACTCTTAACAGGCAGCTAGCTCTCAGAGTGCGCATAGTGCTGGTGGTGGGGAGTGGGGTGAGGTGGGTGGAGTCTGCTCCATCCCTAAGCCAGGCAGGGTGGTTACAGTTTGTATTCTCTGAGGGCAACAGCCACACACTCTGCACTCCCTTAACCTCCCCCACTGAAGTCACCTGGAAGGAAATTCTGGCTTGAAGCTGTCCTGTGCTGCCAAACCATAGTCCTAATCCCTTTTGAATGGAGTAGCCCTGTCTGGTTCAGGCCAGAGAAGGTGGAAGTCAGGAACCTTTTGCCCAAGACTCGTGGTTCCTTGGACATCACACATCTGCTCAGTCCCATGGCAAGGACAGCTTGTTTCCTAGGGAGAGAGCTAGACAGTACAGCTGCATTAGAGACCTGCCAGCATTGCCCTCTAGGATCTGGGTTTTGTGTTCCTAAGGAGCTGGGGGTTGGGCAGGAAGGAGAGTAGTCCCTTCATTAAGCTCAGCTCAGTCCTTTAGTCTGGGGAGGAGGCTTGCCAGCCCTCTGGGAAGCTGCCTTCTTCCCCATGGAGGGAACCCCAGGGTGATCTTCTTGGTTCTTGATCACCATTCCTCCCTTTCCTGTCCTCCTCCTGGCTCTCAGGGGCCAGACCCATTGAGAAAAATCTGTGGTTGCTTGGGGTTGGAGGGCAAGTGGCAAAAGACACTTTAAGGCCATACAAAGGAGAGGAGGCAGGTGGCTGTGGCCAAGATGTCAGTAGACCTCATGTATGTGGCACATGCATGTGTGAGTGCTGAGTCTTGGTCCTGCCTGTTCTCGTGCCAGTTATAGTCTGGATTGGCAGGGAGGGAAGCCCACTTGCAAGCATCAGCAGTTCAGGGAGAAAAGAGGGGGAATGCAAGTGTGGAGGCAAAGAAGGAACCTTGCTAGAGTTGGGACTACCAGCTTGTGTGGCTGTTGGGCCCAGGCTGATACTCATTGGTCTAGTTGCTTAGAGGGGTGGGGGTTGGGTAGCAGACTGACTGCAGCGCTGGGGGCTGTGGTACAAGGGTGGCCACAGCTCTATGGGCTCAGCATGATTTCCCAGGAGATGTCCCTAGGTAGGGCCTGAACTGTGGCATGGGGTGAGGGCCAAGGAGAGAATGATGTCTAACCCCAGGGCTATGCTTTTCTTTGCAAAGGTAGAGGGAGGGTGGTGTCTCTCATGAAGGTTTGGGGGTGAAGCTGTTGGTCCCATTGGCTAGGCACAGAAGCATTTGTATCTGGGACAGTGGGGGGTCCTTGGGTGGTCTCAGTGTGATCCCAGTGTCAGGCTGAGCCATGGAAGAAGAAAGTATTCTTCAATTTGGGGTGCTGCTGGTCAGCTTGATCTCCTCTGGCCCCTAATCATGCTACTTTTATTGGCCTTTTCCCTATTGCCATAGTAGCCTGAGCCAGTCCGGGATACCAGGATCCCTTGTCTAAGGAGTCCCCAAGTTTTATCCAGCTGGCTCTGTGCGTGTGACTGTCACTCCAAAAGTGTTTCCCACTCCAAACGGTCTGCCGGGTGATTGGCCCATAAACAGGTGCTCTGGGGCCACCAACGAGGGCCAGATGGGAAGTGGGGAGTGTGAGTTGCCAAGCAGATACCACTCTGTTTCTCTGCGTCTCTCCCAACCTAGCCCATAGCTGCTGATATAAGGTTTACTCGTGGCTCACAGAGCAGGCAGGCCTGTGACTCCCACTGATGTCAGCTCTCTGGCTGGACCCTCTGTGTGTGAAGGGACTGAGGGACCTGAATCCTGTCATGCTTTGGGGTCCTCCCCAGCCCCTTCTCAGGCCTCAGTGGGGGCTGTGTCCCCTGCAAAGCTTGATACAGTGCAGGCCTGGGGTGTCATCCCTGGAGGGAGTGGTGTGGCTCTAGCCCTTGTATGTCCCACGGTGCTGGGTGAGGCTGGTGGTACGGAGACTGCTCTTTAGGTAGGTGGCAGTTGGGCATAGGGTAAAGAAAAGGCATCCAGCTCTGGTTTTCCTGCTGTGTCTCCTCAGTGGTGCCCCCAAGCCCAGTCGCCCTTGGAGCAGGGAGGAAAGGCGCAGGCTGGCCCCTGCTCACCTGCCCTGTCTTCCGGTTTCTTCCCAGGAAGCAGGAGCTGGCCAACAGCTCGGATGTGACCCTCCCAGACCGGCCGCTGTCCCCTCCTCTCACGGCACCTCCCACCATGAAGGTAAGCGGCTGGGTGTGGGGAAGCAGGGAGGGAGACCTCAACCAGGCCAGCTGCTTCTTTTCCTGCGGGGCCCACATGGTGTTCCAACACTTCTGGAAATAGTGTCCAGTGAGGCCTGTCAGGACAAAGTGTGACCGTGAGATGGGGCTGTCAGGAGACAGGCTGAGCTGGGCGGGCTTGGCGAGGATGTGGAGAGGAGCTGGGAGTCTTGTGGAGGGGAACCTGGGGTTTCGGGGGAAGTGGATGGGGGGGACAAGAAGCAGCTGGGCTGCCTTTCTGGACTGCCTAGGGCTGGGCTGTGCCCTCCTTGAACTTGGAGAGTCTCGCTGCCCTTGATGGGCCTCTGGGGAAGGTTCCTGGACCTCTAAGGGGACAGGAGTGCTTTGCTTCCGTCCTGGGGAGATTGGGAGTCCAGGACCAAGAGGAGGGGATCCTCCACCTCCTCCTTGGCCCGAGTTGGCCCTGTGCAGGACTTCCAGTGCTCCCAGCGCCTCCTGCCCCCTAGGCTGCCTTGCACCCTACCCCTCTCCCCACCTCCCTCACACATGGTCAGGTGAGGATTTGCAGGGAAAAGTCACCTGCTCCTGAGTCAGCTGAGGGGACATGTAGGCCAGCGTCTGTCTCCCTCCCTCCTGGGGCTTTGCTCTGAGGTGACTCATGGGGACATAATTAGGCATATCTCCTTGACCGCTTGGTGCCACCCCCCCCACACTTCCCTGACCTAATCTTGTTGCAAGGTGGCACCCCTGGAGGAAGCAGACAAAACCATCTGGGTGGGTTGGGGCTCAGCCTAGCAGTTAAGGCTCTGGGTTGGAAGTCTGCATTCCACATCAGAGGGCCTGGTTCCCATACCTGGCTCCAGCTTCTTGCTGGAGCAGAGCCTGGAAGGCAGCGGGGGATGGCTCAAGTAACTGGGTCCCTGCTGCCATTCACGTGGGAAACCTGCATTGCATTCCTGCCTCTGATCCTGACCCTGACCCTATGGTGGCTGTTGCAGGCACTTGTGTGTGTATGTGTGGGTGTGAACTAGCCGTCAGGAACTTGCCTGAATAAGCCATCTTGTGGTTATCCTCCTATACTGGATACCTACTGTGCATGGAGCCGTGTGGTATACACGCAGGGTGTGTGTGAGTAATGGCAGCGGTGGGTGGGAGGCCAGGCAGGGCTGGCGGGAACCACTGTGCTTGCCTGCAGCAGCCTGTCTGATCTGGGAGCAGGTGCAGGGGAATGCTGGAGACCAGGTCATGCAGAGGCTCATGGGTGGCAGGCTTTGCAGGGAAACTTAAGTTTTCCTGCCAAGCTTTTCTTACTCACATGCTCATTCAATTCAGCCAGTACCCTGAGTTGATTTGAGTGCTGTGTTAGGACTCGTGGTTGCAAAGGACAGAAATGTAACCCACTTTGACTTAGACATGAAAGGGATTTTCATTTTTTTTTTTTAACTTTGTGATGCTAAATATAGATACCAGGCCTGCTGGCGTCTGTGAAATCTGTCTCTTTTCTTCTCTCTTCTGTGTTGATCTCATTTTTTGAAGCTCTGAATCGGAGGGCGGGGGGCAGGGTGGTGACAGCAGCTCCTCTATCTACTGAGTAACTGCAGAGGAAGAATAAGATCTTTTGTCCACCTAGTAGTAGCACTCCTGGAAGTCCCAGGAAGGAAGCTCATTGGGCTGGCTGAGGTCTCATGGCTGTCTCTGAGCCAGTCACTGTGGCTGGAGAGATGGAAGGCTCATGATTGGCCAGACCTGGGACTCATGACTTTACACCTAAACTGAGAGCTGGGGAGTACTGGCTCCTCGAGGAAACATCGAGGAAACATCGAGAGGTGCTGCTCTGAGAAGGAGAAATGGATACGAGACAGAGAAGAGCAACACTGTAAGTGCTGATCACGTGCCAGGCCCCGTGCTGGCTGCAGAAGCTCTGGCAGTGAACAAGATGTGATTTCCTCAGCTCTTGGAGCTCATAGTCTAGCCGGGGAGCCAGGAGTTCATAAAAATAACATCAAGAATGAGGCAGGGAAGGTAGACATTTGGCCTAGAGGTGCAGCCGCTGGTTAAGATGTCCATAACTCATACTGAAGTGCCTGGGTTCTGTGCCTTGCCACGGCTGCTGGCAGCAGCTTCCTGCCCAGGTAGACCCTGGGAGGTGGCCGTGAGGGCTCAAGTACTTGGGTTTCTGTGACTCCAGGAGGAGATGTGGATTAAGTTCTCAGCTGCCAGCTTTGGATGTGGCCCGGTCACGGTCATTTGAGAAGTGAACCATCCAATGGGAGCTCACTCTGTCTCTTGCTTACTTTTGCTTTTTGCCTTTCACATAAAAAGGAGGGCTGCAGTTCGGTGTGTGCTGAGTGTTCCAGGGAGAAGCACTCCGTAACTCAGAAAATAAAGCTCGGGATTTGGAGGGGGAGGTCCCTAAGCTACTCAGTTGAAGGTTTCTTTGACAAATGATATTTATTCTGAGCTGTGAATGTGAGGTGGGGACAAAGGTAGACAGAGGGACAGAGAATGGCCTGGCCATTGCTGGATGTAACTGAGATTGTGGGAGGGATATGGTGGTGGACAGCAGACGGCAGTACGCTGAGTGGAGGAAGGGAACGGTGCCTGTGAGGGGCGAGTGCTGTGTGGATGTGATAGAGAGTCGAAGGGCTGACATTGTGGCACTGCCCGTGAAGCCACCACTTGCCATGGTAGCTTCCCCTGCTTGAGTCCCAACTGGTTTGTTTCTGACCCAGCTTCCTGCTAATGCACCTGAGAAGGCAGCAGATGCTGATCCAAGTGCTTGGGTCCGTAACACCTGTGTGGAAGACCCGGGTGGAGTTTCAGGCTCTTGGCTTCAGCCTAACCCAGTCCTGCATGTTGCATGCACTTGGGGAATGAACCAGCAAGTGGAAAGTCTCTCTTTCTCTCCGTTTTTGAAAGAAGGGAGAGAGCCCCAAGGGTACCAGAGATGTGGGAGCTGGAGATCAGGATCTGGAGCACGGCAGGGGGCTGCTGGTTAACGTGTTGATTCAATCAGTTACGTGTGAGCATCTGCTGGGTGCCAGGGTCTCTCAGGGGGTGCCCAGGCAGGCCCAGGGAGCAGCAACAGCCTCAAGGAGACCACTGCGACCTAGAATCAGAAGTCATCTCCTGTCCTGCCAGGTGCTCTGGCCTCCCCAGGGAACCCAGCTTGGGAATTTCTTAACCTCTGATTTTCCTGTCCAGACTGCAGGATTTGGTTCTGGCTGGGGACTAAGACAGTCGCAGGGCCTGTGGCCTCCAGGATTCTGTCTGCATCCTGAGCCTTCCTGGGAGGTGTCACAGTTGTGTGTGGAAGGGTGTACCTGCACAAAGGGCTCCGACTCTGTCACTGTCATCGGGATTATTTTGCGGCTGGGGCAGGCCTTTAACTGCGGTGGGGACTCTTTGTGGTTGGGGCATTTTTTCCTCTTTGTGCAAAGCCAGCTGCCTATTAAGGGATTAGAGACCATGGTCCTCACCTTTGCTGTGCCTGCTCCCCACAGAGGGTGTGTCACTTTGTGACTGTACCTGCCCTGTGGGTTACTCCCTCTTGTTGGTTGTTCTGCTTTTCCACTATGCTGAGCTCCTCCAGCACAGCCCCTGCAGCTTTGGGGTCCCTGGCAATGTTCCCAGTGGCTGAGTGTGTGAGGCATGGGAGTGAGGGTGAGGGGGCGTGGAGGAAGAACTGGGGCAATCTTCCGATCCTGCCTCAATCTTCCATGCTAGCACATCTGGGCTCCCACCTGTAAAGTCCTACAAGGTTGGGATCAGGTCTGTGTTTGTTGTTGGTGCACCTTGAGGCCTGGGACACTCTAGGGGTGGAGGCTGCATCCTCTTGTCTGGACTCAGACCTGGTTGGCAGGGGGGTGGGAATCTGTTTTCTCTGAGTACCTGGGCCGTGGGGAGGCCCTGGCTGGTTCTCTTGGCACGGGGGCAAGAGCAGAAAGGATAGCTGTGTGGTTGGTTAGCTTGAGAGTCATGAATGCCTGGAAGGGTTGTTAGGCTGGTTCTCCTGGCACAGGAGCAAGAGCAGAAGGGATAGCCCTGTGGTTGGTTAGCTTGGGAGTCATGAATGCCTGGAAGGTCTGTTTCCTCTGTGTAGAAATCAGGCCCGGAGGTGGGTCGGGGGAGGCAGTTGTGCTCTTCCAGCAGTTGGTAGAAGCAGGTGAATTCGAAGATCCCAGGTACTTTGGGGAGCCGTTCTTCTCATCACTCTCCCCTGCCCGTGTCCCACCCAGAGGTAGCCCCTTCTCTAGCTGTTGTTCCCACTGTGAGCAGGAGCTGCCTGTAGCCCAGTCTCCACTTGGTCCCCAAGGCCACCACCCCACTGGCAGGCCTGCTGCCTCGGGTCCTTGATGCCTCTCCCCACCCCACCCGACTCATTGCTGTTTGTGTTTTTCAAGGATATGCTGTCTTTTTGGCTAGTGGGAAACAGAGAAAACGCCAACGGGGAGATACTGAGCAGATGGGCTGAATGAGAGCCCAATTCCCCACCAGAACTCACGGGGCAGGGTGGGCTGTCTTCCCGGGAATGCTGTGGGTTATTCCAGGTGCACAGTTTCCAGGACTCTGATTTGCATGCCCGACGAATCAACACACGGTAGGGAGGCCAACAGGGTGCCCAGCCTTGTGCCAGCTCCTGCAGGGTCATGCTAAAGCCTCAGGCCTGGGTCCCTTAGGAGGCTGCTGCCTACAGGGGGTCTTGATGGAGAAGAGGAAACCGGATGACTCAGCTGGGAGCTCAATGGGCAGTGTGGCTTCTCAGTGGGGAGGCTGGGCGTGGCCCTGGGGAAGGTGGGGGCAGGAGCTGGTTACCTCCTGGTTCTCTTGAAGCTCGCAGCAAGTGCCCAGGGCACACTGATGAAGCTGGCAGGAGTGACTAGGCTTGCCACCTTGTCACCCTGAGCCCCACCAGGCCCTGAGTTGGCTGGGTCAGCTGGGAGGTGTGAGTCCCTGCTCAGCCTCCTCCTTCCCCCTTGGTGCAGGCCTGAGGGCAGCTCC